GCTTCTTTCACCATCGGTGCTAGGATTTCTTCATCACTGACATGTTAAATGTTAACAGCACCATCGTTAGAAGCTAAAATAAACTGATTTGTTAATTACCTCACCATAAGAGCTGACCCGAGCACTTTAGTGGGAGTGGATGACATTGTATAATGGTGTTATGATATAATTTAACTTGTAAAAAAAAATTGTCGGTCGAGGCCACAGGTCTTAGGAGACCTAGAAAAACAGACACTTAAAAAAAGAAAAAAAGAAAAGAGAGACTGAGAAAGCAGAAAAAAAACAGCATCTGCTAACACAAAAATGATTTTCAAGCATTCTGCCACATTCCCTTCATTTGATTCATTTAAATGCAAAAGCGAGAGAAAGTGGAAGGGAAGAAAAAAGAAAAAACAAACCCCTCCTGCTAAAAACACTCAATTTACTGACAGGCAAATGACTTCACGCTGCCACTTAATCTCATTTCTTGCATAATGCCCTCTAATTAGCATATCAAAGTGAATTAATACTTCTAGGGCATTAGCAATGGGGAAATCTACTCAGGGCCTCCAGTAGCAGTTAGTGGAGTGCCAAGAAAGCTCCCCAACACTACAGACAGCTTTGCATTGCAAAATGCTTCTATCCATTTATCCGCCATGTATGTATCTCTCTCCTCCTCCACACACCCTCTCTCTCTCTCTCTCATCATCTAGCCCAGCCACTCTTTGAAAAAGAGAAAGATTTTTTTCTTCATGCCGATTCTCCGCAGTGCCCCGGGGATCCCGAAAACAACTCGAACCTTTCAGCTCGACAAGACTTTGAATTTGCGGTAATCTGTGGTTAATCTGACAATTAACTTAGCACGTTTTTACATGACGGTTGTCATTCACAGCCTTTAGAATAAGCCTTAAAAGAGTTTTCTTCCACACATCTCGCAGTTTTAGGGGGCGCATCTCTGACATTCTCATAGTCAAGGCAAAAGTACACACTCATGCATCCCGAACAGTCACACAGATCATCTCTGTTCGCTCGCTCTACAAACAGACGTACATACACAGCTTTTCCTTCTCACTGTTTACATAGTTACAGTACAAACACTTCAGGTTTGATTTACCCTTTTTGCGCCTTTAAGCCCCCTTTGCATCAGATCCAAAAGCAACAATGAATGTTTCATCTTTTCAAAGCTCTGTTCTCTGCTGCAATTGGCAAATACAAGGCCAAGAAATCTGTCCAATTGGAACTTATTCATACATCAGCGCTGGCAGTTGTTAGCATTTTCTCTTAGTGTATAAAGAGAGATACATTTAGCAGTGACTCTATGGCACAAACTGTACTGTATCAATATCACACTCACCAAGTTCAACAATGACAGCTATTTGTTGAGTAGTGACGCAACTTGAAAGTTTTACCATTTCACTAAGAAAATGAGCTAATTCAAGGCTAACATGAGCAAATTAAACCTTCACAGCAGTTGTAATTTGCAAGTGCATACACAACAAGTTGCACAGACAGTGCTGTCCGATGACTTCCAGGAACTAAATCATGTCAGAATTTAGCATTTTTGCATTGCTCCTCTTTGCAGTGGATGCAATGGCATAAACCCTCACGACAAGCCCTCAATTCTTTTGCGCATCTGTTGAGTATGATAAGCGAAATGCACATACGGCTCTGACACAAGGTGTTCACGAGGTATGTGTGAGGTGCATTAAAAGCATAAAAGCTGCACAGAAGATGTGTTTGGATGAAAAGAAACAAGAAGGAGTAGCAGTAGTAGCATGCTTATCAAAGCAAGTCTTTCTTATCACTCTGATGAGACAATGTCCTTCAACGTTGCTGTGGAGAAAAAAAAGAAGTCTTCCGCTAAGAGTGAAAAAAACAACAGCTTTTCACATCTCTCAACATCGGCGCACTACACCGCAGGTGAATTTAAGCACTAGTCTAGATTCAAAATTACATTTGACCATAAAACCTCACTTCAAAGAGCGAGGAAACAATGAAAACTGAACGTACATTTACAGCGTATGAAAATAGCATGCTTGTGTTCACTTGTGAGTTAATAAACAAATTAGCAGAATGAAGCTTGTTAGGAAATTAGTCCGGATGCGTTAAGAAGGGAAGGGGAAAAAAAGAAACCATTCAAACAGGCAGCGTCAAAGGGATTAACCGAGATTACAGCAACTGAGCTAGTAAACAAGCTCATTTAAATAATTAGCATACTTAGGGACTCTACTCTTTATGCATATTTAATTAGAGCTATAATGTAATAAGGGACATAGCTGTATTAAACGTAACATGATAGGTGCACATGGAAGCACAGTCAACAGCTGGAGGTGCATTTAAAATAATGAAAATGCTTGTACAATAGGAAATTAAATGCAAAGGATAGGTCTTTGTAAAAAAAAAATATATAAATATGTTATAAATATGTTTAGATTTAACTGCATTTGTGAGCAATTAATGGATTATGTAAATACACAAATATTAGTTTAAGAGACAAGTATTGCATGTAAACACCTGGAATGTTCATACTTCATACACAATCTACACACAAACATACTTATATATATACACACACACACCTATTTCACACCATAGACAAGATAACTAAATTTCTAAATTACTAAAAGTGACTAAATTTCTTTCTGTCTTATCACAATACAAAACAGTGGCCACTTCAAGCTGTCAAGTAGCATTTACTAATCAATTTCTGGCTTCTTTTTTTCACTCCTCATTCTCTCTTTTTCTGGACAGACATAAAGAACAACTCAAGCAGACCGGGCGGTGGATCAGGGCCTTGCCCTCCCGCAGTTGAGACCTCCAACGCCCGAGAAGTTCATTAAGTTTTATGATCTTCCTCCAGTCAGTTCTGCTTATAAGCCACACAAAGGCCACAAATCTGGCAAAGCACTAATCTCCCTATACAACCACACAGAGGCATGATAAACACATGAACTAAAATTTGAATGCAATTTCATTTCTGTAATAATCATAATGAAAACTCATATTTGGTCTCTTTATGTAAATTAAACATTTCTCTGTTTACAAAATCAAACAAATATTAAAGTTCTAAAGTTTGTTTAATTTTACAAAGCATATAAACTTGCTTATTTCAACATGCTATAAAATAAGCTTTCATTTTATTTAGCTAAGAAAAATAAAATTACAGACAAAAGCACAGTTCTTAGTCAAATTCAGTGCGTTTACCATTATGTTTTAGGCTCACCTTACGAGTTTCGCTCTGCTATTCTCCTTCCGCATTATCCAGAAATACACACTGCACATTCCTGGTAAAAGCCCCTTTTCTAATGGTCTCTCAGGGTTCTGCATATCAGGTTATGTGGTCATTCTCTCTTTATACCTGCGCCCTGCATGATTGCTGAAGGCGCGCGCTTTTACGCACATCACGCGCGTTAACCGTCGCAGCATAAAGGGAAAACTGCACATTAAATTACATCCACTAAACTGCCGGACGTTCTAAACTGATTCTGTTTTAACGGGTGCTGATTTCCCCCTCAAAGAAAAAAAAAACTATCTTTTGTGAGACAGTGACATATGCTAATGTTCCGTGTCATTGGGGCAGGCGGTATATAGCCTTGGTAACGCACGTGCTGAATTGATGTTGTATCTGTCATTGGACTTCATCTACAGTGCGCGCTCGACAGACTGTTTCAGAGGTGCTCGAGTGTCAGAAAGAGTGAAATATTTTGTGTTTGATACAGACATGCGTATATCAACTGAAATAAAATAATTCTAATCCAACAAGAAGGAGCAATGCACAAGAAAGTAAACATTATGCAGAATAATGTGCGCCTGTACTTCTGCTAAGATACAATTCTTAATATAAGGTCCTTGAATGGAGTCAATCAGTTGCCACTCAATGCATTGCTGAATTCAAATGTTGAAATTTAAATATTAAAACTATTTTTACACTTCAAGATCTAGGTCAGTGATCAGATAGGTCATAGGCCACAGTACAAAAATATTATTAGATGTTAATAATTAAATAACAATATTGTTAAGTGCCAAAGAAGTGACAACTTCCAGTTATTTACACTTTCCAGGCTCCTTAATAAATAATGAAAAAAAATCTAAACATAAATATAAACATGTCTAAAATTTAATATTAGTTTTATCACAAGATAACCAGAATTCTTGTATGACAATGAGGGCATTTCCAGCCAAAATTTGTAATCTAAATATTTTACAACTTTGGTTGCATCAAACTAATAATAAATAACTTATCGATCCCTCCTGATCATAACAAGTGCGTTTTAGCACACAAAAGAAAAAGAAAAAAATCAACAATGACACAATAAAGCCAAGCATCTTTGCACGTGTCGGTGAACGATGTAACCTTCACAGCGCTGGCGTCTTTCGGAATAAAATGGGGGCAATAATTAACTGCAGGACCGCCGATACTGCCAATAATTATCCACTAAATTGGTCGCATAATTAGCCAGAGGAGCGCAGGAATTGGACCGCTCTCTCTCTCCGAACCACGAACACGCGCAAACGCTCTCAGGGCGTGCAGTTAAACAAAACAAGCTTAATATTAAACCAACACCGCACAAAGCATATCCTCAGTGGCAGATGCAGAATATCCCGAAGATGCATAATTGTCGAGCAATTCCCCAAGTGTGGGTCTTGCTTGATTAAATGAATGGTGTGAGAATAGCGCGCTGTAAACAAGGGAACTGCCGGGGTGCCTCTCTCTCATTCATGCCCCAGAAGGAGGCACTCGGTTCAGCCTTGTGATGCAACGCAGAAGGGGGGGGAAGGATCATCGTTGTATATTTTGCAATGATAAATCCAATTATGACTATTCATTTTCACAAGTGAGAAGCAGAGAAATGTGGATGCTGGATGTGGCTTGATACAACTGGACTCCGCTGACGACCAAATAAAAAAAAGAACACCAATAAAGATGGCGGTGTCTGAAGGATTAGTGACACTGTTCTGTTGCTTTTTTCTTCTTGACATGTCTAATTTAGCTTCATTTGTTAGGGTATGCATTATCTTACCTGTTTTCTCTTTGATCTCGCAGAGCACACTGAAGAGGGCTGGCTTCATTCTGTGACAGTTGAGCCCATGTTTCCTGTGCCATTTGGGAGCAAGAGACGAGATTGATATATAGTCACTTAAAACTCATAATTGTGTCGCATTAAAACTTCATAAGGCATCAAGTCTTCTGTTGGAATGTATCTTTAAACTGCATTAGTTTGTTAGAAATAAACACAGACAAAGTTCACAACAAAGAGTATAATTAATTAGTGCTAAATATGTAAATTAATTTACAAAGAAGTAAAAGATTTATAGTATGTGGCTAGTGGCTGTAAAAGTATCAGGGCCTCTTCGGCTCAGAAACAGAAAAGTGAGATGTAGAAACTTTTAATGAGATGCTCACATGTGTTGAGCACTTCACCTGTGTATCATTTACATTAAAATGCACAACTTTAGCAGCTAATGTTCTGATTTAGGATAGATCTTGTGACACCGAAACGTGATTTCAACCTGTCAAATGGATTTCAGATGCAAACTTGACCTTTTAGGTTTACTATAGTGACCCAGTGGGTGAAAATTAAAAGTTAGCTAGTGTAAAAAAAAAAAGTAAATGGAAGCAACATGAGCTATTGTAAAGAATCAAATGAGCAAGCATGGAATACTTTGTTAAGAAAACAATGCAAGCGTTTATATTACAGAAATGCACCAACTTTGCTTGCGCCTCGTCCAGGCTTTGGTCGGTGATGGTCATGATCTGATGCAGAATGTCACCGATGTCTTGTTTTCTTCCATCCCCATCGGTTCCGTCGTGTCCATGTGGAGGCGGCAGAGCCATGCCGCCTTGTACCGAGTGACCAGCCAGGCTGACACCGCCGAGAGTCTGCATGATCCGGGCTTGCTCGTCCATAGTCCGCCGCAACACAATCAATGCGCTCGTGCTCAGTCACTGAGATGGGTGAAATAAACTCGGATAATGCACATGCAAAAACAACTTGATTATTTCATGTGCGTCGTTTAACGGGTCGCTATCGTGCACAAAATATTGACCGTGAAGCAACGCAGAAGAGAAGAAAAAATACAATAAATCGCTGGATCGCGGAATTGATGTCCCAGGAAAAGATTTAAATCGTCTTTGATCCTCCTGTAAGAATGTCCATTAGAGGAAAATTAGCGATGATCTTTCTTGTCTGTTATTGAAGTAAACTTCAGCGTTCAGGTGACAGCGGTTGCCCGTTCAATCCTGTCCGAATCTTCATGCCAATTTGTCTTTTTTCTCTTTGAAGAGCCGGGGTCCTTTGCAGATGTCTGGAATTCTTATTTGCTGTCTTCTTAGGATAATTTCGCCTTGTGCACTTCTGGAAAACTTGGACAAATCCGTAGTATTACAAAGAGTTGCAAACAAAACATCCCATGCCTCTGACGGAAAGTGATAATTAATCAAAATTAATGATTGTGTAATTAAAAAGACGCAGGTTGAGTGTGGACAACTGGCAGAATGTTGTCTTTTAAAAAGATTTCTTTTTTTTCCTCCAAAAATAAAAAAACTGCATAAGAAAATAAAAGAACCCGAGTGAAATAAATTAAACCATCAGCACCGGCGACCAGAGCTATAAAGATTGTAGAGAAAAAAATATATACAAAAACGTATAAAAAAGTTTTCTCACTTTCAGTAGGTAAAATAGAAAAACTAGCGAAAAAAATTAATCACGCGCCATAAAGCGATGCGCAAAAATATCTGCTGGCGGAAATTTATGAGTCGAGCGCGCGGGCTGTGTGTGCTTTATGTTGTTTGATGGCAGCGGTAGTGAGCGATTGACAATGTGCCAATGCCATTCACTCAGTGCGGACGTGTCAGAGAAGAAAAAAAGATACAAAATCGACATCAAAATGCACGCTCCGCCCTGCAGAGGAGGGGTCTTAGATTCTTGTCACTTCTCGCCGAAGCCCCCGAAAACAAAATGCCAGTTAGCTACTAATGATACTGCTGGTGATGATAATGATGAGAGCAGAGCATCAAATCAGCAGCGTTTAAGTCTCCGCTTTACGCGTGCCTCATTTAAAAGCGCGCCCGTGCATTTGAGATGCCGTTACATTATAAAACAAACAAAAGGTCGGAGTTTTATATTGTCTGATTCAAACTAATAATGAATTGCACGGGCCCCCTCGCTTCCTTACACCATAGTATGGTCGCCTCCACAAGCCGTGCTTGCAGGGGCAGGAAAGCAGAGGACATGTTTATAATATTGGAAATAGACGCCTCGAACCAATCGCTTAAGAGACGGCGTTTGACGGGCAGCCGGAGTGACCAATGAGCGACTCGCGCTGATCGAGAACGCCCGCCTTCGGAGCTCAATACCTTTGCTACGGTTGTACAGAGAGATCTCAACTTCTGATTGGACGTTGCCAAGGGTGACATTACTGCACAAGCAGGCGGCGCTGCGCAGCGCTCCTCGCCAGTTGCTATGGCAGCAGACTGTTCGGTGAGCTCGAAGCAAAAACACACAGCGAAACATTTGTGCGCTTCTTCCTCCGTCCGCCGCGCTCCTCTCTCTCTCTCACACACACAGGCAGCCGGCTACAGCCACAAAAACACCGTATTCCATCCACACTCCAACCACTGTTGTTCAAGGTATAGCCCAAAACACGCGTCTTTTGTTCAGTACACCAGTCACCAAAAGCATCAGTATGTGTTGTTCTTGGTCCGTCGTAAATAATAGCGCATGTAGAAGAACTGTATTCAAACGAAGTGCCATGGGGGAATTAGAGACTACTTTTAAATGATATTATTCTATCAAATATTTATTTCTTAACTCTTCCGATGATAAAATGTTGGCATTGGGAACAACATGTCTGATAACATGACACCTTTATCGTTAATTCATGCAAAAATATTAAGTAAAACATGTTTTTTTAATTATGTAAACTGATGGAATTTTAACAGCAGTTCTACTTTTTTACATTAATTGGTTGATTTTTAATGTATTAATTTGTTTAGCTTAAAATAACAAAATATTTAGTTTAACTTAATTAAGGTTCACCCAAAAATAATAAAAATTTGCTTACTATTTACTCACTAGTGTGGTTTTAAAACATATGAGTTTATTTCTTGAACACAAAATATATTTTGAAGAAAGCTTACGATTAAACATGTAACATGTAAACACTGACTTCCATAAAAGGAAAAAAAATACTATGAAAGTTAAGAGTGTTGGGTAAAAAGTAATATATTACATCTGTATGCCTATCTTAATTTTTTAAAAATAAAATAAAATAAAATGCAAACATACAAACTGAAGTGACACATTAAGCTGATTTTTAAAGTCACTTTAGATTATAAAATATATCTTTTTTTCCAAACACTGGAATGGTTCTAAGTTTCCGGTTTTCTTCAGAATATCTTCTTTTTTGCTCAACAGAAGAAATAAATAAAACAGGTAAACAGGTTTTAAACAAGGTAGAGAGAGTAAATTTTGGCAGAGTTTTCCTTTTTGGGTGAATTATACCTTTAGGAAAAGTTGACTGATCCTGATTTTCACAACAAATGAAAACATGTGTAGTTTTGACCAGAATAAATAATAATAATAATAATATTAATAATAATAATAATAATAATAATAATAATAACACATACACTACTGGTCAAAAGTTTGGGGTTATTTATTTATTTATTAATTTTTTAAGAAAAATATTCTGTTCAATGCAACATTTATTACATGTAAAACAAATGTTAAATTGTTAAATATTTATTACAATTAAAAAAAAACTGCATTCTTATTGTAGTTTCAAATGAAATGATTACTCCAGACATTATTGCTTTTATTACTACTAATTAAAACAACATGCTTATTTTGAACTACATTGTAATCTTAAACTTTTTAAAAGAATAAGTATTGATATAACATACATTTACGTTTCAAATGATTAAGAATGCATTGGTGAAAAAAACGGGTAAAACCTACTGGTTTAAATGATGCAAAAAGAGTACAAAGATTTTTAATGACAATTAATAAATATTACTGTGAGTCGTTTACACGGCAAACTATGATTTGTGCTCTTAAATTTCAAAGTTCAATCAAACTGACTTTACAAGTCATTGCAAGCAACGTACACAGTAAAAAATGCAGGGTTCCACACAATTCATTTTGTCTCAGCACAAATCGATTAAGTTTAAGTAGATTGAACATAAAATAATTAAGTTGTCTTAAAAAAAATCTCAAAAATTGTGTTGTTTACCTCATTTTAAATAAATAGTTTGAACAAGCAGCTAAATTATTTTTGATTGTACACTAAAATGACTGCATAAAAACATTACGTCGAATCTCATAAGACTTTTAAAAACATGTCACCATGACTTACTGTCTTACACTTTTCTGGTTTTGATGCTTTTTGTTTCTATATACAATACAATTTTGTTAAAAATATTAGTCAAAAGCATTTAACTACTCATTATTCAAATGTTATCAGTAAGCAAACAAATTAGCTGATTAAATTAGATTTATTTGTGCAGGAAAAATCAGTAAAATAAAAGTCTCACATTATCATTGCACTTTATACTGTAGCTACAGGTTAATATTCATTATGAAATTCTCCAGTGTCATAGTTGAGGTAATGCACTTCGGCGGGGTTGCACTTCTGACAAGACAGCCTCTGATGTGAAGGGACTAATTACCAAGAATCAGAGACACATACCAAGGAAACAGAGCTGTTAATTCTTGCACAGTAAGAAAGTCAATCAGACACCCTTTCAAAAGGCACCAACATGTGATGCTACGCTGAGAATTTGTGAAATCTGGCACCAGAAAGCTCCCCGTTCCACAGTGCATGAACTGACTGAAGGCCCTGTGGAACTGCTTCCATCACTGACACACTCAACACGGCAAATTAACACGGGCTAATTAAAGAGCGAATAATCAGATATGCAGAAAATCAAAACTTCCTCTGGGATGAAGCAGTTGAGGGATAAACAATGCGGGGGAAAAAGCACACAAGGATATCTGTCAGCAGGCCTGGAGCCTCATGAAATTCATAATTTTTCGCTATGTTTTTATGCCAGAGATTGTTTTTGAAGCAAGAGTAGGTACACAAAAGAGAGGCAGAGTCGTGTGCTTGAGATGTAAAAATAGCATTTTCACAGACTGAAAATTAACTTCTTGTACCACACTCCCACAATTATTTTTTCATAGTAAATAATAGATTGCTGAAGTTTTAAAAGGATATCCTTTCTTACTGGAAATGTTTGTTAAATCAGCATGTTATTTGAAGATTTATGAGTAAAATATTTATGAGTATACTATTCATGACTATGAATAAAATTAAATACAATAAAATATAATATGTAAGAGAATAGGATGACACCTTGGCTCAGTGGTTAGCACTGTCGCCTCACAGCAAGAAGGTTGCCGGTTCGAGTCCCAGCTGAGTCAATTGGAATTTCTGTGTAGAGTTTGCATGTTCTCCCCGTGTCTGCGTAGGTTACCTCTGGCTGCTCCGGTTTTTCCCACATGGCCTATAGGGGAAAATTAAAAAAGCCATAGTGTATGTGTAAATGTGTAAAGTGTTTTTGGATGTTTTCCCAGTACTCGGTTGCAGCTTGAAGGGCATCCGCTGCATCAAACATATGCTGGATAAGTTGGCGGTTCATTCCGCTGTGGCCAAAAGGAAAATGAATGTAAGAGATTAAGTACATTAAGGCAGTTGTTATCACAGAATAAGGCCTGACATGCATACTGGCGAAAATAAGAGGTGTTGTATAAAACGTAAAGGCATATTCTGCGAAAACAATCTCCAACACATATATTATCCTGCTTATTACATGGCTACCTGCCAAAAAATATAAAAACTAGAAACAAAAGGTGATGGTTATGAAAATGGCTGAATGAAGCATGCACCAACCTACATATTATTTAGTCGTAAGATGCCGCCAAACAATCAAAAACAGTGGCATGACAGACAAGCACATGAATACACAGGCATTCATTTATTTGCCCTTTATTCATCAGCGGTCGCCACAGCAAAAATGAACCGTCAACTTATCCAGCATATGTTTTACATAGCGCATGCCCTTCCAGCTGCAACCTAGTACTGGGAAACATCCATACAAACTCATTCACACACATACTCTACGGTCAATTTAGTTTATTTAAGCACCCGGAGAAAACCCATACCAACATGCAAACTCACAGGAGAAATGCCAACTGACCCAGCTGAAACTCGAATCAGTAAGAGGCGACAGTGCTAACCACTGAGCCACCATGTCCCCCATACATGTACTGTGTGTGAATGTATTCACTGTTGCTCAAGGTGATTCAAAGTATCCAGACAAGCCTGCATTGTTTATCGGTTGTTATCTCAGAATAACATTAATGTCATGCCGGATCAATCTGAATCAAGTATTCGACAGCTGTATAATAAA